CCCCGCGCCGCCGCCTCTTCCCCGCCGCATGGACGAGCACCTCAGCCTCCTGCGCTCGCCGCCGCCGCCCTCCGCCCGCCACCGCGCCCACCCTGCGCAGCCCCCCGCGAGCGGCGGCGGCGGCGCCCACACGCTGGTGAACCCCGGCTACGCCGAGCCCGCCGCAGGCCCCGAGCTGCCGCGCGACATGACGGTGGTGCCCGGGGACCACCTGCTGGACCCCGAGGCTGCCGACGGCGGCGGGGGCCCGCCTCAGGGTGGCTGTGGCGGCGGTGGCGGCTGCGACCGCTACGAGCCGCTGCCGCCCGCGCTGCCGGCCGCCGGGGAGCAGGAGTGCTGCGGGGAGCGCGTGGTGATCAACATCTCGGGGCTGCGCTTCGAGACGCAGCTCAAGACCCTCTGCCAGTTCCCGGAGACGCTGCTGGGCGACCCCAAGCGGCGCATGCGGTACTTCGACCCGCTCCGCAACGAGTACTTCTTCGACCGCAACCGGCCCAGCTTCGACGCCATCCTCTACTACTACCAGTCCGGGGGCCGCATCCGCCGGCCGGTCAACGTGCCCATCGACATTTTCTCCGAGGAGATCCGCTTCTACCAGCTGGGCGAGGAGGCCATGGAGAAGTTCCGCGAGGATGAGGGCTTCCTGCGGGAGGAGGAGCGGCCCCTGCCCCGCCGCGACTTCCAGCGCCAGGTGTGGCTGCTCTTCGAGTACCCGGAGAGCTCGGGGCCGGCCCGGGGCATCGCCATCGTGTCCGTGCTCGTCATCCTCATCTCCATCGTCATCTTCTGCCTGGAGACGCTGCCCGAGTTCCGCGACGAGAAGGACTACCCCTCCTCGCCGTCGCAGGAGCTGTCCGAGGCGGCCGGCAACAGCACGTCGGCAGCCCCCGCGGGAGCCTCCAGCTTCTCGGACCCCTTCTTCGTGGTGGAGACCCTGTGCATCATCTGGTTCTCCTTTGAGCTGCTGGTGCGGTTCTTCGCCTGCCCCAGCAAAGCCACCTTCTCCCGAAATATCATGAACCTGATAGACATCGTGGCCATCATCCCTTATTTCATCACTCTGGGCACTGAGCTGGCTGAGCGACAGGGCAATGGACAGCAAGCCATGTCCCTGGCCATCTTGAGGGTCATCCGCCTGGTGAGGGTCTTCCGCATCTTCAAGCTCTCTCGCCATTCCAAGGGGCTGCAGATCCTGGGGCAGACGCTGAAGGCTTCCATGCGGGAGTTGGGGTTGCTCATCTTTTTCCTCTTTATTGGGGTCATCCTTTTCTCCAGCGCCGTCTACTTTGCCGAGGCAGACGACCCCACTTCAGGTTTTAGCAGTATCCCGGATGCCTTCTGGTGGGCAGTGGTAACCATGACAACAGTAGGTTACGGTGATATGCACCCAGTGACCATAGGGGGCAAGATTGTGGGGTCACTCTGCGCCATCGCTGGTGTCCTCACCATTGCTTTGCCCGTCCCTGTGATTGTTTCCAACTTCAATTACTTCTACCACCGGGAGACCGAAGGGGAAGAGCAAGCCCAGTACATGCACGTGGGAAGTTGCCAGCACCTCTCCCCTTCTGCCGAGGAGCTCCGAAAAGCAAGGAGTAACTCGACTCTGAGTAAGTCGGAGTATATGGTGATCGAAGAGGGGGGTATGAACCATAGCGCTTTCCCCCAGACCCCCTTCAAAACGGGCAATTCCACTGCCACCTGCACGACGAACAATAATCCCAACTCCTGTGTCAACATCAAAAAGATATTTACCGATGTTTAATCTATGATCCAAGTGACATGCTGTGCTCAGTATTATGTGGAACGTGCCCCCTTGGTCTGTGTATGCCCTTGTTTTATACATTTCCAGGCCATTCATCAAGGAAAGGACATGAAGAAGTGGAAAGCACACTTCATTCTCCCTCACCCTACTGCTTCATACTGAAACAGGTGTCTGTTTTGCAAGTGGGCTGCATTCTCTCAGCTCTCCTTTTTTTTTCCCCTCTCCCTCTCTCTCTTAATATTGCAAGCAACAGACTTACTTTAAACTTGATTTCTAGTACAAATCCTGTTTAAAAAAATAAAAACTGTACATCCTGGTAGGAAATGAAACTAGAGAACGGTTAGAGTAACTGTTTAACCTGAGAATTATTTGTTGCTTTACTAAGTAAAGCAGGCACATATTTAAACGGTGCTTCAGTTTGATGGACCCGTCAGCATTATTGAATCTTTAGTTCAATTGCCTGTGCTGTGGATATGTGGATGGAAAGTCTAATGACTTGTAAACCCACCATAAGTTCATTTGGTTTTTGACTAGAATTTCTATTGGAAACTCCCCTCCTGGAATTTACACTTCTCTACAACTTTGAACAAAGGGGAATGCCTGAGATGTCCTGATCTAATATAGTTTAACTCTTTGGGGCTTGTTAAGCATTTGGAAGTATTAGACTAACAGATTTCCTGTGAAGTTGTGTGTGTGTTCCAGCCAACATCTATCAAAGTCTAGAAACAGATGTTTTCAGTGCTGCTGAGAGAAACAAAATTTCCTAATGCATCTGAGAGATAAGCTTCTGCAGTATCACAAGAAGATTAAAGTGGCAGACACTCCTTCCAGCGGAAGTTACTAATTCGGACCTGACTGATGCAGTTCCCATAGCAACCCATGTTTCCTGGGAAACCCGAAAAAGGTTGTCATGGCATCTCTTGCTCTCTAGCCCCGCCCCCTAGCCCCTGCCTTTTCCACAGTAATCTTTCCAGATGTTTTCTAGTTACATGATTTCATAAGGAAAATCACTGTTTGAATAAAGTCTGAGAATCTGAGGTGGTGATATGAATCACAAAATGCCTATTTTTTTACTACAAAAAAAATCACTGATATCATTCTATAATGACTGAATCCAGAATGAAAGTATCGTCTTTGGAATGGTTAGATATGCACCACAATAAGGAATGATTTGAATTAAATGCCAGTAATTAGGCAATAATTTTAAAAGATGCTTCTCTACTGTTTCCTTTCTCCAAGAAGTTTCAAGCCAACAAATGAAATTTAAAAGCAAATTTCAAAGTGTTCTGTACATAAGCAAATGAAAGATTCAATCAGTGCACCTGAAACTTTACTGCAAGGGACCTTCAGACTTCCTCTTTAAAATAAAATCCAGATCCCACAACAGCACTGTTACCATCACAGCACTTGAAAAACAAAGTAAACTTTAAAAATATAAAGGATGCATATTTTTAACTGAGGGAATTGCAGACAATCAATTCGAAAGAGGGACGGGAAGTAACCAAATCTTGGGGAAATTCCTTCAAGTTTCAGCCATATGCCAGGGGTTTCCAGAAGACAAACAGAATCAGGTGAGCACTCTGTGCGCTGAGAGCACTCCTTTTTGTCCAGGGAACCAGGGAAATGCTCTTCCTGTCTAGATTGGCGATACTTGGAAAACCAATAGTTTTATATTAATTATGTGCAAGTGCCTTTTAAAGATCATTTACAATACCTTTTCCATTTGATTTCCATGTTGCTAATTATCGTTTGGTTTCCGTTGCTTATTGCAAAAGGATGGGGAAAAAAGTCATTGCTCTTCAGAATAACTTTCACCCAGACTGAGCTGAAAATGATTCCATTCTGTTTACCAACCCACTTGGCTTCGGAAGAACCGGTTTCCCCTTAAAAATGAGAGTAATCTATTTTTAAAGTTCATAAAATATTTTCAGGTAGTCAGAAGCCTACTTACTTTATTATTTGTGCATTTGAGACAGTGAAAATTAATGTCTTACAATAAGACTATAAGAGGGGAAGAGGAAGAGAAAGACAAAAAAAGAGGCAGGAACTCTATCTGGTCATAGGGTCGTTGTTTTTATCTCTATGTGGGTCAAAATCAGACTCCTTTATCTAGTTTCCTTGGCTACTTGTTTGAGTTACTTGTAACATTGATCTACCTTTCGACCAAATTTGTGGTGTTCTTAATGACCATAAATTCTTTTTATGACCCATTTTGGAGGTAATATGTTAGACACACTGTAGTAATAAGATTAAGAATAATTTTTGTTTTTGTTCTTAAAAGAACATAAAGATAGACAAATCACAGTGACAATTTTATTCATATTTATTCAGAAGATGTAGAAACCCTGAGTAGTTCTATTAGTAAGTTACTATGGTTGTGGCATAATTTTGGGAATTGTATGGAATTTTTTGGAATTAAATAACAATTATATGAAGGAGACCTTTATTTTTTTAATTCAGAGGAATATGGCTTTTGAGTTATAACTTCGAGGTAGTACATTGCTTCTGGTCGCCATATTGTAAGCCCCTTAGAGGTTATAGATTCTGTGTCTTGACAAGCTTTGGCTACTAGTGCCCCACAGAGAACGTAGCACCTTGATGTATTCAATACATATTTGATGAGTGAATGGCTATTATCTTACATGAATGTTATATTCAGGCTTTTAATGAAGTGGTTTGAAGCCTAAGTTCGGTAGTCATATTGCCAGGTTTTGAATCCTGACTCCACTGTATGACATTGAGCAAATTACTTAACCTCTCTGGACCTAAGTTTCCTTATTGATGATAATAAATAGTACCTCATGGGGTTGTTGTGAATAGTAAATGTTAATACAGGTGTAACACTTAGAAAAAATAATGCGTGATATGCAGCAGAGATTACATTATTAGATTATTTGCTGAGAGTACGTTATTGTGATCATTACTCACCAACATTGTATAATTAATACCAAGCTTTGTGAATAATATGAAATACATAAATAATCAGTGTCTTCCTATTTACTTTCTATATAACAATAATAATTACCACTTATTAAAGGTTGACCATGTCCTGGACACTTCTCAACTCTGTAAGTGGTATTAACCCTGTCTTAGGAGGGCAAAAAATAGATGGTTAAGTGATTTCCCTAAGACTTCACTGCTAGCAAGAGACCAGCTACGATTTAAAGCCAGGTCATTCTGGCCCCAAAAGCCATTTTCCTTTTGTTGGGTGACTTGAAAGCGACTGAGAAAATAAATTTCTTATGCTTTTAGGTTTGACTTCAGGCCATGTTACTAATTAATGATTTCCTATAAGAGACGTATCTCTGGAAACCTATTTCATGCAGTATACTGAAAATTAACTCTTTTCTAATCATCAGATCTTTTTAACCATAGGGATCAAATATAAGATATTTAAATTGGATGAAGAGATTGACTTTTCTAGTAATAAAAGATTATTTTCTTATATGATTGATTTATCTAGATTTAATATTACACTCAGAAAGAATAAGCAGTCGTAGTAATGATCCCTGGTAGACAATGAATATTTTTCAGTTTTAAGATTAATTTCCTATTTTCATGTGTTTCAGTCTACAACAGGTGATAGTATTAAGCAAATTGTTATTTTTCCATCTCCTTATGCTTTGCTTAGGTTCCTGAAGAACCATGCCAGAAAGCAGTGTAAATATTGGATTCTCCTTTATTAAGAAGGGAGAAATTACTTAAAACAAAAGGATTGAAAGCAAAAGGAGATTGCCACTGCATTGAAATTTGTAACATTATTGCCTTACCCAGCCACTTCATGGATCTTTAAGAGCAGCTGTGCTCAAAAAAACATTAGAATATAATTTCATCCCCTATGATAGCTGTAGCCCCCTCTCTAAGATCCTAAATCATTTAGAAAATGAAAATGGATAGTGATTTGGGCTTAGCGCAAAATGCAGTGAGTCTAAGTTTACACATGCCAGTTAGCTTTGCCAACCAGAGACTCCACCGTTGAGCTCAATTGCACGTCTTGGATGTTGGAAGGTGTGCATACGTCTGTGTGTACAAAAGATTCCTGGGAGGAGGTGTGGCTGGATCCGCACACATCCATCAACACCCTGGCGAAGATATCCATACCCTACAGCTGGTGAATCCAGAGCTAACAATCATAACATTGTTATTATGTTATCTCTTTTATGGTGTTTTAAACTGATACTATACCAAATTTAAATACCCACCAACTATGGTGACATAATCACAAACATCTACACATAAGAGGAAGTGTTATATCAGTTATTTCTAAACTTTGAAATAAAATTTCAGGATTGAAATTTTAAATGCACAGTATGAAGAAATTTAAAGTTATGGTTTGTCTACATAAAACTTGTTATTCTTTGGCATATAACATACTCAAGTAATTGCTTTACCGATCGTATAAATTCCATATATACCAATATAGTCTATTCCTTTGAGAACCATAACTATAATTTACTGTCTTCTATACGTTTAAAATTTCAACATTTTCTACAGCAGTTCCAAGTCTTTCCCACCTCTCAGCTGTGAATAGAAGTGATAACCCCTCCCACTAAGAAATGCAAACAAGCACACGTGCCCCACAGTCTGAAGACTTACGGAAACACTGTGAGATAGAGGGGAGGAGCATAAGAATGGGGAAGAGGATATTGAGGAATGGCATTTTAGGGTGGGGTTTTTTCTGTTTTGTATTTGGTCTTTTAAACTAAGGAAGATAAAACTGTTGCTTTTGTACTACTAATTTCCTTTATTTTGCTTGGCAATTTTATATATACTAATGAAATCATTTGTTTTTTATAACCTTTGCAAGAGAGCAAATCAGAGGAGTCAGGAAGAAGGGAGGGAAAGCCATGCAGAGCCCAAACCTTACTGTTGTGACTCAGCTCCTAACCTCCTGCCAGAAAATGGCCATTGCTATAGAGTATATGATAATAGTATTCTTTATATGCTCATGTTCACCCAGAAAATTTAATTTAAATGATTCAGACAGGTTAGAGAGTTTGCAGATGTTTGTCTTTGTTTTCGGTGATGCTATAAACTAATTTTGTCTTTGAAATTGTACAGAAAAAGCATTTTACAAAGAAACATTTTCAAGGCTTTTCTCTTTTTTTTTCTTTTTTTGTACTGGATGTGTTTTTCCTTACATTTCGCCATTTTGCACCATTAACCATAAAATGCATTAAAGAAGAGATCTAGAAAAGAGGCTCCATCGTTTTCTTGGGAGCCATTTTATTACTGTTGCAACCTAAATAGTGCAGAATAGGAACTCTGGCCTGAAAAGTAAATCCTTGGATTATGGTTGTTAGTAAGATAGCACTTAAATGAACAAAAAATGATGTTTCATCACATCTGATGAATGTTATGAATAAGTCTGTGCATACAGGGCTCTGACTTTGCAGGTACAGAGATCATACTCCCCAGCGTGGTACTCAGGTGTGAATCCCAACCCCACTCTCACCCTCCCATCAGAGCACAAAGGCTCTTGGGAATCTCCATTGAGATCCCCACCAACTTTTTAGAATGAAAGTTGGCATTGCACCCATGTGTTATGTGTCAATCAGTGCTGCTATTTCACTTGTTTTCATTAACTTTATTTTAAACTCCTGTTCTTTATGGAAATTCTCTCTGAACCTTAAGGTTCTTATTTTTATACATTTATGCATGTTCCTTCAGTTAAAATATACGATTTAGTTTGGAAGAGAAGCCATTGGAGGCAATTTATTACACACACACACACACACACACACACACTTCATCTGTTCATAAGTTATTCCCTATCCTAAGATATAGTTACTTTCTATCTGTAGATCTAAACAGTCTAATTCTTTTTCTGAAAATAAGTGAATTTTCAAAATATTGGTTGCCTTCATATATGCATCATAAATTTACAAATTATTTTTATTTTTTATAGCCTTGCTTAAAAGGCAGTATTTACTAATGTAATAATAGATTCATAAAAGTAGTAAATACATTCAGTCTGTCACTGAGTTTTGTCATTTCACCTCCTAAATATCTCTAAAACGAATCCATACTTCTACGTTGCTGCCAGCACCACTTTAATCCACACTACCATCATCTCTATCCTGGATAAGTTTGAAGGTCTCTTCACTGGCCTTCCCACATTTCCTGTGGCCAGTCTGACCCATTCTCCACCTCGTAGCCAGAATGCTCTTTTTGAGACTCAACTCTGATTATATCACCTGCCTCTGCTTAAAATTCTTTCAGGGTCTTTTCTTTGTTCTTAGGATAGAGACCCAAAGGCTTAACACAGCCTTCATGGACCCACATGATCTGGCTCAGCCCTCATATCCAGACGTAGCCTATACCTGTGCTCCTCCCATCATTATCTCATGCTCCAGAAACCCTGATCTTCCAGTTACAGGATAACCTCCCTTTCCACTTAAGCTATGGGGATCTTTGCAAATGTTCCCACTGGCAGCTGTCTCCTCCTCTCCTCACCTCATTAACCTCTATTTTTATTCCAATACTTCCTTCAGGATATCTCTCATGACTCTGGCTTTATCAGTTCCCCTATTGTAGTATATTTCATCAAATTTAAGGTGCCTTTGATTATAAGAACCACCATTATTTTATGTGCCATTAAAAAAACCAAAAACTGCCAATTATAAGGGAAGGTACCAGTGATTTTAAGGTACATCACAATTTCATGGATGCTCAAATCTAAGAAAGTATGTCTTAGAATGAACTGAATATAGATGTGATCTTGACATAGCTGTAATATATGATTAACGTCTGTTTCTTCTGTAAGAGTAGGGACTGTATCTCTCTTGGTTCACCATTGAATCCCTTCCCATTCGTTCCCAAATCTGTTCCAAACAGGCTTTCACCTCTACCACTTCACCAAAAGTATACTTTTCAAGGTCACTGGTGACCTCCTATGGCTAAGCCCAGTGGCCATTTGGCCGTTTCTCAGTACTCATTTCATTGGATCCATCTGAAACATTTGGCACTGTGGAATACTTCCCCCTCCTGAGAAAAATTTCTTAATTTGACTTCCAGGATACCATACTCTGGATTTTCTTCCTACCTCTCTGGCCTCTCCTTTTCCATCCCTTTTACTCGTTCTTTCTTATCTCTCCTGGCTCTTAATGTTGGAGGGTCACGTGGGCCATGGCTAGTCCTTAGATCTCTTTGTGCATTCAGTCTTATTCTCACAGCTTTAGACTATCTACATGTAAATTTATATCTCCCACCTGAACTTCAGATTGAATTTCCAACTGTTTTCTTGACATCTCCCCTTGGGTATCTAATGGATATCTCAAGCTTAATATATCCTAAACTGAGCTTCCCCCTCCTCCTCTCTCCCCTGCCGTCAAACCTATGCCTCCTGCCCTCTTCCCCATCTCGATTACTGGCAACTTCAATTTTCCAGTTGCTCAAGCTAAAATCCTTGGAATTACTCTTGACTCTTCTTTTTCTCTCGATCCCCTTCTCCAGTCTATTGGCAAATCCTGCTGGCTCCACTTTTAAAATGTTTCCAGAGTCTTACCACTTCTGCTACCACCTGATCTAAGCTGTCATTATCTCCCACCTGGATTTTTATAGGACTCTCCTGACTGGGCCCCCAGCTTCCATCCTTTTTCCTCCTGGGTCTATTCTCAACATAGCAACCAGAGTGATCCTTTTAAAATACTTGTCAGATCACGTCACTTCTTGGTGGCAAAACTCCCATTTGGCTCCCTACTTCACAGAGTACAAACTAAAGCCCTTACAGTGGCCTGCAAAGCTCTGCCTAATCTAGGCCCCCTTACCCTTCTGACTCACTTCTGACTCCTCTCCCACTTGACCCTGCAGAACAGCTGTGCTGGCCTCCTTGCTCTTCCTCAGGCACACCAAGCATGCCTCACCTCAGGTCTTTGTACTTGCTGTTCCCCTTCCTGGAATGCACTAACGTCTGATATCTGTGTGGCTCACTCCATCACCTCCTTGGGTGTCACCGTCTCAGTGAAGCCTTCCCTGGCCACTCTATTTAAAATTGCAAGCCCCACAGCACTCTCTATAGTCTTTCTCTGCTTTATTTTCTCCTTTAACATATTAGATATTTTACTTTGTTTATTGTCTGTCTTCCCTTGCCTTCCATAAGAACAGGATTTTGTCTGTTCATTGGTACTGTATCCCCTAAGACCTGGAATAAAGTTGGTGCTTAATAAGTATTTATTCAAGGAAGGAATGAGAGGAAGGAAATAGCATTCCAATTTGAGTGTTTTTAAACCATAAGCAAAATTTTCATGTT